ATTTGGTGATGTGTTTCCTCTACAGTTATTTGAAAATTTAAGAGGGAGCAGCCTAGAGGCTGTGAAGCTATGCTAGCAGGATAGAAACTGAAAACCAGTCCCACCAAGGGGTAACGGCACTGATAAAACACCCACTTTTCTAGCTCAGACTCCTAAAGGCTACATCATAGCAGTAGAGGTGAACAGGAAATAGCCAGAATCTGACAGTCTGCAGCACAGAATCAAAGCATCTCAATCCCCAAAATAAAACTGAGTTGATCCCAAGTGCTGATGGATACAAACAGCAGGAAGAGAAAAAATTCCCTTTCAAGTAAAATATATACCTCCCCTGGAGGAAGATATTATTTCCCATATTTCTAAGAAGAAAAAAGTCCACATAAACACTCTCTGTCTTTCTCTCACACACACAAACAGGCTCACAAGATTCAGAACAAGTTAGAACAAAAAAGAGAATAACAAAATATAGAAACAGATTCACAGGAGCTCCAGACATCAGACTACCATGTTTCTAGGTTCAAAATGATAAAACACAAAATTGAGTATGTTAGCAAATAATTTGGGAGCTATTTTAAAAAAAGAAAAAAACCAAATGGAATTTGAAGAACTAAAAAATACAAAAACAAATTAAGAACTAAATGAATGGGTTTAACAGTAACACAAAAAGAGCTGAAAAGAGAATTGGAGGAAACTATCCAAACGAAGAATAGATAGATGAAGAACTTGGAAACACTGAAGAGAGAATAAGAGATACATGAGATATCACAAAAAGATCCAACTATGTACATTAGAAGTCCCTAAAGAAGAAGGGAAAGAGAATAATGGGACAGAAACAAAATTTAAAGTGTTAATTTCTCCCAGATTGATGAAACCTCAAGATGGCCTACCAAGTCCAAACACTATAAACAAAAACAAATACATACCTAAGGACATCACAGAAAAACTACTGAAAACCTAAGGTAAACAGATTATCTTAAAAAAAGACAAAGGGAAGAGATTACCTTCAAAGTGATCAGTAAGACTAAAACTGAATACACAAAAGAAACAAGGTAGGCCAAATAGCAGTGCAATTATATCGCCAAAACTCTGAAAGAAAATAATTAACAACCTAGAATTCTATACACAGAAAAAGAAGTATCCTTCAGGAAAGAAGGGAAAATAGATATATTTTCAGAAAAACAAAATAAAAACTTATCACTAGCAGATAGCATTAAAGAAAATAATACAAGGGTACTTCAAAAAGTTCATGGAAAAATAGAACTGAAAGATAATACAAATCATTCCATGAACTTTTTGAAGTGCCCTCATATAATGGGCATTCTTCAGTCAGAAGGGAAATAATGACAAATGCATGGTCAGATAAAAGGAATTACAGGACTGCAACATTCAATATTGCTAAAATTACCATTATCCTCCAAATAATATACAGATTCAATGTAATCTCTAACAAAACTGCAACTTGTGTTTTTTTAAACATTGATAATTCTAAAAAGTATATGTAAGTACAAAGGATCTAAAATAGTCAAAACAGAGAATGCATCAAGATGGTGGAATAGACTACTCCCAGCACTGCTCCTCCCCACAAGTTGCCAACTTACAACTATTAAAAAGCAAAGACTGCTAACCTGGAGCTGGCGGAAAGGAGAAGAGACCTGCAGAGTCCGTGAAAATGCGAGGCCACGGCAAGAGAGTACAGGAATGGCACCTATCACTCTGAGCCCTTGCTGCTTCTGAGCTACCCTGGTCACTTCTGAGCCACCCTGGCAGGGGACAGGGAGTGGCTGCTGCATAGGTTCAAACCCAGAAAAAAAAACTACAGCAGCACCTTTCACATAAATCTGCTTGGAGTCTGCAGGGGAGAGGAGGGCTTCGGAGTGCACCAAATGAGCCCACAGGCTATAAAGACCACTGGTAGGATTCCCCCAGACCTGCATACAAGCAAGGGACTGCAGCCAATTGGAGTAGGGAGCTGCCAAGAGAGGCCGGTGAGTTATCACAAAGATAGACAAGGAACAGAGAAATATGTTGCCACCAAAGGAAACAAACAAAGCACAAGCAATGGACATAGAGGAACAGCAGATCTATGAAATGTCTGACAGAGAATTCAGAATAAGCCTCTTAAGGATGTTCAGGGAGTCCCAAGAAAATACAGGTAAAAAAATTAGATGATATCTGGGGGAAAATTCAGGAAAACAAGAAACCTGACAAAGGAAGAGAATTAATTTTTTAAAAAACCAAACAGACATTCTAGAAATAAACAATACATTCTCTGAATTTAAAAACTCAATAGAAAGCTCTAATAGCAGACTTAATCAAACACAGAAAAGAATCAGTGGGCTCAAAGATAAAACAAAATTTCTAATCAGAGGAGCAAAAGGAAAAAAGAATAAGAAACTATTAAACAGAAATACAGCAAATACGGGACTCCTTCAAGCAAAATAACCTCCACATAATTTGAATACCCAAAGGAGAAGAAAAAGGAAGAGAATATTCAAGGAAATAATAGCTGAAAATTTCCCAAGTATAGAGAGAGATGACAGCATCCAGGTACAGGAAGCTCAGAGGTCACCAATCAAATTCAATCCAAGGAAGAGCACTCCAAGACACATCATAATCAAATTATAAAAACCAAAGACAGAATACTAAAAGCAGCAAGAGAAGAGAAACACTTAACATCCAGCAAAGCCCCAACACATCTCTCAGTGGATTTCTCAGTAGAAACCTACACACCAGAACAGAATGGGATGATATATTCAGAGTGCTGAAGGAAAAAGACTGTCAGCAAAGAATTCTGTATCCAGCAAAACTAACCTTCAAATATGAAGGAGAAATAAAGTCTTTCCCAGACAAACAAAAGCTAAGGGTACCCATCAACACTAGACGTGCCCTAGAAGAAATGCTAAATGGAGCTCTTTCAATCTGAAAGAAACCAATGGTAAAGAGTAGCAGGAAAATATATGAAGGTACCTAACTCATTAGTAAAGTAAATACACAGACAACTTCAGAATATTCCAATGTTGTAAGGGTGGTGAATAAACCACTTATATCTTTAATAATAAAGTATAAACCTAACCAGACAATAACAAATACAACTACCATATAAGAGACAGGCAATATTAACAGATGTAATGTGGAACAAGAAAAGCAAAAAAGTAGGGGGAATGATGCCAAAGCCATACTGTCAGCTTTGGTTTTTTCTTTTTTCCTAGATATCAAAGTTAAGTTGTCATTAGTCTAAAATAATTTCTTATAACTATAACATGTTTTTTGTAAGCCTCATGGAAACCATAACACAAAAACTTAGAAGAGACATACTAAAAATAAGTAGCAAGAAATCAAAATATATGGCTAGAGAAAACCATTCAATGACAAAGGAAGACAGTAAGACTAGAAAAAAGGATCTACAAAACAACTGGAAAAAAAAAATTAGAAACATGGCAGTAACAAGTTCCTATATATCAATAATAACCCTAAATGTAAAGCTTTCCCTCTAAAAACAGGAAGACAAGGATGCCCAATCTCACCATTCCTATTTAACATAGGACTGGAAGTTCTAGCCAGTGCAATAAGGCAAGAGAAAGCATTACAGGGCATCCAAATCAGAAAGGAGAAAGTCAAACTAACCCTATTTGCAGATGAAATGATCCTATACACAGAAAACCTTAAAGACTCCACCAAAAAACTCTAGAACTCATAAATGAATTCAGTCAAGTGGTAGGATACAAAATCGACATACAAAAATCAATAGCCTTCCTATATGTCAATAATGCAA